TCTTTCTCTTCTTCTTGCCGTTGTCAGGTTTGTCTGTTTCTCTTTGCTGTTTGTATTATTATTGCCGGTGCCACCATGGACTCTTGTGTGGCCATTAAGCCCTTGTCTTGTAGGGAAAGTCTGAAGACAAGCCAACAGCATTCAGGTCAGAAAACATAACATCCTACAAAAGAACTTATTATGTACAGAAAATATTACCAGTGCCTTAAGGCAGGAGATCACCTTTTCTGCAAATTCTTCAAGTATATTCAAAAGGTTTAGGATATGGACTATAATATCTTTACAGTACAGAAGAATAAATCTTATATCATGGTAGAGTTATACATGTCATAAAAATATAAAAGAGGAATAAATGAAGGCTTCACATTGTGCTAATGCTTCTTTCTGACACATTCCAAATCTTATACCCTTACCCCATAAATACAAATAAAAATATGGTTGGCTTTGCACTCCCTTTTAAAAAATATATGCCATGATGATAAATTGTGCGAAGAGCAAAGCCCTGAAACTTACCGCATTACATCCTTCAATTGTGCAGCAGAAGACGTGGCTGGGTTCAGGAGTGGGTGACGAGGGTTTGACAAAGCTGCTGTCAGGGCTGACAAACTGTGGTAAGATGGTTCTAGGAGTCTCCACTTCTGAGTCAAAGGATATTGATCGCTATGGGGAGAGAACAAAGTACCTTCAAAACTCTTCAAAAGAACAATAGATCTACCCACTACACTTGGTGCATTTTTCAAAATACATGATTGTATATCTAAAATTGATTGTGGAACATTTTGGTCATTCAACAATCTGAGGGTAGACTCCCTAACTGCAAGTTGGGCTAGTACTCTATAAGACATCAATATTGCAACTCACAAATTGCTTTACCTACTCCCCTATCTACATATCCCCTACTATCTCCCCTACTATTACTATCTACAATACAACCTTCAATGCACTACTCACCTTACCATTTTCCTTCCTGACACAGTGCTTTTCCAGAAGATTTTGAACTGGCTCCTGAGGTAAAGTTGCTAAGTACTAACCAAAGACTTTGAGAGAAAGCGAGGGACAGACTTACCCCCCACTGTGCTTCCTCCGCCCGCCTGGCCTGCAGCCGAGTCCGTCCCAGGATGACTTTGTCTTTCTTCCCCGTCGTGTGCTTCCAGCGATAGTAGAACTCCACACACTGATCAACAGTCTTGTTTGGGAGCTGCAGAAATATACAAAACGTACACAACCACATTTAACGCTTTTCCGTCAAAGCAGATATGGACCAGAAGAATGATAGATTTGTAGCTTGATTGAGTTATGTTGTTAGGTTGGTTCTAGTACTGGTTGGATGTCAAGGAGCTTAGTATTTTAACATACACCAATATAGAATATGTTGTGTTTGGATTAATACTATAATAAGTGCAGGAACATTCTACCTTCTGCAATCAAGCATAATTGTAAACACACCATGGCAGTTGAATAAAAAATGAGGAAGAAAACTTACAAATTCTTTGAAGTCACTGAAGCTCTTCCCATACTGCTTGATGGCCTCCTCAAAGTTGGCCTTGTCCTTCTTGTTCCATCTAGTCGAACCTGATATGTGAATAGTTTATGTTATGTAGACTAGACATGGAAGGATGTCTGCATCAATTGGAACTACATGTAGCTATGATTGTTTATTAACAAATAACATAAAATAAAACAAATAAAATACAAATGACATTGGAGGAAATTCTTTGACTTGAAAAAAGGATGGTACCCCAAAATGTCCTTATCACAGAAATGACTCATTTAAGTACCTGAATAGTGATATGTCTGCATGAAAGAATCCTTGGGAAGCAAGGCTGGTTTTGTCATCAGTTTAGGCACTGCCGTCTGGATGGGAAAGAGTCAGAATTACTAAAAGCATGCACAGATCAAAGTACATTAGGGACCAAGTAGCTTACTTTGAGAAATTTCATATATAAAGTAAAAAGCATTAAAAAACATATCCAAGTTTTGTATAACCATGGCTTATAATCTGCAGCAAAAATCTTTATTTGAATAAATCTGGTTCCTGTGGACTCACCATGATGTCCCCGTTACACCTGTACAACAGGTGGAAGGCATACTCCTTGTTCCGCCCTCCCAGGGGGGCGACTTTAGAACAAGCTGTTTCCAAGTATGCTCTCACTAGTAGGGAGAAGGGAGACCACAACTTAGAAAGTTTGTTGGATTGTGAACAATTGCACTTCAACAAAGACATAAGCATCTCTTTACATGAGTTGTACAAGAACAATACAGATGAGAACATTCAGACTTGTCTTAACTATCATCCTTGAAAGACCCAGTATACGCTGCATATACGGTAATTAAAACAGGTTGCAACAGGTACAATATACAATAATGGCCACATTCTAAACATAAAAGATGACAAAATCAAACTATGATATGATTCTTCTTTTTTAAGCAAATTTATTCTGGTGACACCTACCTTCCTTATCAGTCAATTTCTCCACACATTCCGGGTGGAACACCAGCTCAGCTTTCTCTTCTTCCTTTAGAGCATCTGCTTTGTTTTCTGAATGATAACAACATTGTGTAAATGCTAAGGGGTTCCAATAGTTGCCTAAAGATATATAAAACTTTGCACTTTTATTTAATTTCATATTGGCAAAGGAGGACTGACTTCTATCATATACATGTATATGTTAAGACTGACATGTTTGTGGATAACAGTTAAACAATTAACAGGTGGGCTCTGGTATAGCAAGAACAACTTGGCAGTATTGAAATACAATACGTCATAACCAAATTGATGATTGGTCGCAAGCAGTATTTACTTACTATTGCATTCTGGGATCTGCCTGGAATCTGCCTGGAAGTTGGGCCCAACGTTGACCTTTGGCCTGACCCCTGCGTCCTGCCAGCTCCCTACAATAGTACATGATCCACCTTAAGTTTGTGTGTTCTACTGTAGGCAAGGAAGTTCTCATCAATGAAAAGACAGACACAAAAGAGCATGATGAGAAGGTGCTACTCACATTGTCTGCTGAAGAGTAAGTTAGGACTGGGACTCAGGAAGGGTGTGGAGGGTTGTCTGGGCACAGGAGTCAGCAACTTCTCGTTCTCGTTCTTGCAGAACGTGCTGAAGTACAGGCCCGACCCGACCCGGATGGGGCTCAGCATGGGCGGGGGCGTGTATGGGGGCTCTGCCCCCTGTGCCTGGGTGAAGATGAAGTCCCCGTTCAGGGCGCGAGGCGACCTCATGTGCGACTGGTACACGATGGGTCCCACAGCGACGTGGGCGTTCACACTGTCCGGAATGTTTAACGCTGGAGGTTTTCGTTTGCGGGGCACTGGTGGTGCGGAGGACTCGGGAGCCTGAGGACTCATAGTGTCTGCTTCAGACTTTGCCTTCTTGGGCAGAACAGGAGACACTGATATGACAGGCGTTCTCCACACTTCTCCTGTGGAAGACGCCTGGCTTCTGACGACGGGTTGGGCAGAATATATAATCGTACTAGCTTCACTGGAGTAGCTGGTGGCTGCACCTGCAGGAACCGCAAGTCCTGCAGAAGTAAAGGGTAGGGAGAAACTAACTGAGCTGGAGCTGTGGGACTGTTGCTGTAGTGCAGAAGGGCCAACAGTGGTATAGCTGCCTTGATTCGAATAGTCTTGAGCTAGCAGTGAGGCAACCACATTTGCTATTTCCTTTGTAGAATCTGTAGAGGACGTGACGGGAGACAATTGTGGTTGCTGTCTCACAATGCTCGCCTCGTAGTTTGGAAAGTCCATTCTTTCCAACTCCGGTGGCCCGTCACTGTCTGACTGGCTACTTCCTCCTCTCTGTGAGCCCACATGGTGTTGCCGTTTCAGGGCCGAGTAGCTGCCAGGTAGATGAGTGGTCGTCTCGGGCAAACGTATCTCAGTCTTAACGGTTGGTTTTGATTCCTTTGACGGATACAGATAGTCTGACAGGACAGCTCCTGATTCGTTTCCCCCAGCTCCGTGATGTAGCAGAGCTGGATTGGATGCTGAATGACCGGCTGCCAGGGATGCTACAGTAGCTGTCCCCATCACCAGGGACTGCAGCACAGGGTGGGCAGACTCAGGCAGCTGCTCAGGGGTTCCTCGCTCCTCGTTCCCAATAGCTGCCACAGTCTGGGTCAGTGCAGCCAGACTTTCTGAGGAGGCATCTTTCTTCTGATATTGGAAAGGACAAAGTAAACCCAAGTTTACGTCTGGCTACTTAAGAAACCTGGCAATCTATCTAATCATTCTGACCTAAGCAAGTTTTGAAGATATACGTCTGAAGCAGAGTTACACATGAGAATTCTACATCAAAACCATTTCATATCTAAAATTGAACCATGCTATCATCCAAATTCTATAATGATGTAAAAGAGAGAAGAAACACTGGAGGCACAAAATGTACAACCTCTATCTATTTTGTTTCTGCTCACCTTATTCTTCTCATAACCCCCATGAAGTCTCATGTGTCCGTTGAGGGCTGGGAGGCTGCGGAACTGACGACCACAGGTCTGGCACTCCACAGGCTTCTGGGGCGCAGCAGTCGTCTGGGCTGGGAGAGTCGTCTTACTTCCCGGGACAGGGGCTTGCTGTAAAATTGTAAGTAACATATCAGCTTCTGTAGACATTGAAATCAGGATCATAGCTTCATAATTTCAATCATTATTTTAAAATCAGAATTACTGTGATTTCAAACATAGCAGAATGGTAATTCACATCATAAATTTTCCTCTCCACAATCACTGATAAGCTGCATTGATCTGGAACAACAATATTGCGACAATACACATAACAATCATATCAACAATCAACAAAGTATCAAGTCATAATACAGCACCAGATACAGCAATCAGGCTGTACCTGCGATCAAGAATATACCGTCTGGTAATACGCTCAGCTGTGATTGGAAACGGATGGTCAGTAGTAGAATGAGTTTTTCACATACCCTCGACCACTGACTATGGTTACTTGTCAGCAAGGCTTGAAGTTCGTACGGAAAAGACTGCAAGAAAAATGTAATCAAATCACAAACCAGGATTGGGCTGTCTAATGGAGATATGACAACCGTCCTTATTTACCCTTAGCCTATATTTCACAAAAGAAAAGTGCTACACCAAAACAAGACAATGCTTCGGCATTAGAGGTTGTTAGCGTCAGGTTAGCAAGCTTTCTATGATGATCTATCTTACCTGTTGCCAGGGGCCCCCTTGTGTTGCGCTGAATCCCACAGGTGGTGGTGCTGGGACCTGTCTTTTGTCATCTAAAGCCTTTGCTTGTGCCTGGGCAAGTCTTTGGGCCACCTGTGCATTGTTTGCTGCCTGATTATACTGCAGTTGAGATGTAGCCTGCACACCTAACTCCTGCTTTATCTGTGGCTGACCAACAGTCTGGGACACTTGCATCTGGTTGGCAATGTGAGCCATCTGTGCCTGGCTTACAGATGGAGTGATCCGATGTTCTACCTGCGAAATATGTGCCTGGTTTGCAACTTGACCCAACTGCACCTCTGTTGTAGCCTGAGCCATCTGTGCTTGGCTCACGGCTTGGGCCATCTGCCTCTGGTTTGCTGCTTGACCCATCTGCATTTGTGCCTGGTCTGTGGCTTGAGACATCTGTATTTGCATTCCTGACTGAACTGCATGGGTCTGGTTTGCTCCTCGAGCCATTTGCGCCTGGTTTGCAGCCTGGATCATCTGCACCTGGTTTGCACCTTGAACCACCTGTGCCTGGCTCACACCCTGAACCCTGTGAGCTTGGTTTGCTGCCTGTGTTATCTGTGCCTGTGCCATCTGTGTGTGGCTTGTAGCTTGGCTTGTAGGTGGCATATATGCCGGTGGTGCCTGCGAGAACACTTGCTGAGGGAGAACCATTTGTGTGGAGCCACCGTTGGCTGCTGCTACCAGCTGGGAAGCAAAGAAACTGTCCAAGTTGACAGTGTATCGTGGCTGAGTCCCGCTGGTGGGTTGGTCTTGCAGGGCCCAGCCGCTGTACGGAGCTCCCGGCTGCGGGGGACGTTCCTGGTACACCGGAGGCTGCGGCTGCGGCTGCTGCTGCTGTGCTCTCCTTGCAAACTGGGCAAGAGACTGCATTGCCTCTCCGTGAGATCTCTGCTGAGCCTGGCTGCTTGTCACTGCAGCCTCTTCAGGAGGTCTGGGTACCGATATCTCAGTGCTGGGCGACGCCACCTCTCCTGCCTGGCTGTAGGAGGGCTGAGGGTCTCGGCTGGTGGATGGGGGAGGCATGGAACTGGCAGCAGGAGGCACTCCCCTGGTCATGGCAGTCATGGCCTGCTGGGGAGACGGAGGGGAGGGCAGGTAGAAGGGCCCCAGCTCGCTGTGGTGCAGCTCAAAGTGCCGGCGGAGGGAGCGGGTGTCACAGTAGCTCTTGTCACAGCCTGGAACCATGCATGGGAACGGCTTCCTCTCACGATGGGTGTTAATGTGGCCATTTCTGTATGAGGAGAAATTATACTGGTTCAATACAACTGTTATAGACTCTTTACAAAGGTTTAAAATATAATAGCAGATAGCATTAAAAACATCTAACAATCTTCCACAGTATAATCAATACAGCTTTGCCACAACTCTCAACTTTTCTCATCTCTTACATTTCTTAGAACAACTTACAGACTTCTACATTTTTTCTATGTAATGTCCTGCACAATTCAGCCGTTTTGGCTTCCATGTTTGAGACAACATTACTTGTTTTTATTAAAATAAACCATTCGTATTCTGTATACCACAATGACTAATGTGATATACATGTACAATATGCTTGCCGGGAGATGAGCCAACATTACCATGTTCCTTTCATCCTTCTAATTGAATCAGACATAATTTGTATGCGAAGAATACTTAATGTAGCTTTGAGCTGTTTTTATGCAGTATACATGGAACGTATGCAAGGCACGTACAAGCACAGGGGCACATTCATCACCACAAAATGGTACCATGAATCAACCCAACAATTGACAATACAAGGTTGAACAACCTCTATTTGTTACTTGACTAAGGAAAGCCAACGTCTAGGTCTAGAAAAGTACTAATTTTGCCACTTGCAAACGGGACTTAAGAAAGTATTTTACAAGATGGTCTGTACCATGTTGGAATACAAAAATATATATGAGATAATATTACAGTGGCTGCATCTGTTTCCCATTTAAAAAAGCAGAATTACTCAAAATGGTACATACAGCTGATTTGCATGTTATGAATTGACAACTCATCTCAAAAGTCTAACAAAAAGTTTGGAAACTGACTCTACAGTCTTATTACACACTATTTATGATGTTTTCTTTTTACGTCTATGTTGTCCTTGGACATTTATACATGCTTAGGATTAAATAAAATTTCAACAACAAAAAAACAGATGATCACTCTATGTGCAAGATCCGCAAGATATGACTTTGTTCTCCTGACAAAAAAAAATCATGTTAGTTGATCTAAGATCAATACTTACAAGTGGTCTTGTCTCTTGAAGGCCTTGCCACAGATCTGGCAGACATACTTGCGTTCCTCACTATGCGTGGACCTGTGCTTGGCGAGGGAACTAGATGAGCTGAATGTTTTCCCACACTGCGGACAGTCCACGGGATGACGGGAGGGCGAACCACGGGCTGGCCGACCTGCCCGCTTCTGGAATGACGGACATTAGCGTTCAACTACTGGCTCACTACTACTCTGTAGAATTATAACCATTAGGACCAAATGTAGGACTTCACCATCAATATCTTCTGTAGGGCTCGACATACCCATTAGCAACCTGTAATTTGCAAAACTGTTTTTGAGACTGCAGGTGAAACTATAAATAACTTGATAAAAATTCAGGCTTGACATTACAAATGGCAATCTAGCCATGAACATGCAGTAGCATACTAAAGCCTGCGTCTAGACTCTAGTAGCTTGTGGAGATGGTTTGTATTCCACATAAGCACAAGATTTGAGCACTTAAAGTAAAGGATCATAAACTTAAACTTCCAGGAAAGGGCACATGGAGACAACGTGAAAGATGTAGCACTTTATAATAAAAGTTCAAGTTACATCACCCTGCTCAGAAAAAAAAACTTCAAAGTGCTATAAATCTACAAAAGTATGGCATATTAACACTTGACTATTTC